AGGAACATCTTTCTAACTGTGGTATCGGTGTGGTAAGAAATGGCAAGCTGCTGGGAATGTGTCTGCCATGCAGCATAGATAGACCTTCCTCCGGAAAGCAGCTTTGGAATCACCTGTAAGGTGGTGTGAGTGCTTTTGCATTTCTGATTAAATATGTGAGTCTCTGGTTTCCAGTCTCTGAGGGTAGCCACTACATTCTGTGGGTCATTCTTGTTTCTGTATTTACCACCTTCTCTCTAGTCTTGACCTTGTTATTTTTCTCCTTAATTGATCTCAAAAGTTTTCTCCTAGTTCAGGGCCAAAATGTTCTCAGGAAAACAAACCTTGGTTTTACAAAGTAAAACTAAACACATGATGGTTAAGTCTCTATACTGTTTTTACATATTCTACTGACTGGAGAACAACCCAGAAGTTCACGGTCAGAAGCGGTTCTTTTCAAGGAGGGATAGGAAATGTCTCAATGAAACCTGTTGCCAGCAGTATGTAAGAATACCTTTACAGGTGGTTAGCTTTATGTATACAATCTTGAATGGACAGCTCAACAGATAAGCTTCTCATAGAGTCCCGGAACAGACTGCTCCTTTATTATATATGGTTGTGTCTTTAAAAAAAAAATCTTGGTACTTAATCTATTTGCTTTACTAAAATCACTGCAGTGATTTTATTTTTGAGAAGTTAGGAATTCATCATTTATTAACCAAGGTATTATTTAGTCAGCCCACAAATACTTAGGAGCACTTTCTGCATCCTTCATGGTGGCCAGAGTCTGCCTGTTTACCACCATATATCTATGAGGCAGGCTTAGTTACCTTAGTTTTCCTGGGGAGACACAACACACACATGTACTAACCCCAGATGGGGATCCCATGATAGACCAAAGTATGGACACCACCAAAGTCCATCTTGGTGAACCATGAGTTTTATTGGGATTACTTACAGGAATATGGGTGAGGGGTTACTTACAGGAGCAGAAATGACTCATAGACAGCTGCCCACCCCAGCACAGGTGACTGCTCACAGAGCTGGGAACCTGGAGCACACTGCCCAGCCTGCAGACAACTTAATAATTTGGAGCATGTCCTTTCCAGGTGCTTTGGTTGGTCTAAACCTCTTCCAGGAGCTCCTCTGGTTTCTGTCTCTTCAAAACAGCTGGTCAAGTCTCAGAGTCCTCTTTGCAGCTTGTCTTGTCTGAAAGGAACTCTCTGCTTTTATTGCTTACTCTGGCTGGGAGGGGCCTAGTGAGTCTGGTCAGCTTCAGGGACTTCCTGGAGCTATTTTGAGTTGTTTGCCTTCCTGCTTAAGTGGCTTCCTGCAGGATGGAATGTTTTATCTGGTAGGAAACTGTTATACAACAGTCACCTCAGAGGCTCACTCAGAAGTTCATCTGGAAACACCCTTAGGATCGATGCCCATGGAAGAAGCGATGAGAACAGAATGAACGAGAGAAGAAGCTCGTCTCTGTTCAGTGCAATAGCAGAATCAACCAGCACTATGGGACTCGGTCCAGGTGGTGGTCTCCCACCTTCATTCACTGCGTGGTCATTAGTGGAGGGACTGTACCTAGTGTAAAGTGCTTCTCTGCCAGTGGCAGCAGTGCCAGCATCTGGGAATTAAGTGCTTTCATTCTGAGAAGGGGTCGGTGTGGCACATGACAGTGTCCTTAACGTGTGCTTTCAGCTTCTCCTGAGAAAAGTCTTGATTCAACTGGCGTCAACAAAGAAAAGGCTCAGGGATCCAGCAGACCCAGACTGGTTAGCACAAGGGCTCTGCAACCTCTTCAAGACCTTTCCAGCGTTCCCTTCTGTCAGCTTAAGACATCCATTTTGTTTCCCAGGATGCTTCAGAGCCACAGTGGGTGGAACAAGGGGTAACTGTATGAAACAGGAAACCATGTTGGTCCCTGTGACTTTTCTGTTGTAGAAAATAGTTCCTCCTATCTTTCTTTCTGTCATGACATCACCCAAATGTTTATCATTCCCAACAAAAACCCTGTTATTTACTAAACAGTCATAAGTCTCCTTTCTCTTCCTCCCCCTCCTAACTTCTCCCTGAATCCTGAATAGTATTCTACTGTATGGACAGATAAACTTTTGTCCATGCATCCATCGATTGGTGAACACTTCGGTAGTTTGTGCATGTTGACTATTACGAATAACGTTGCTATAAACAGAGGTAAGTGCATATCTATTCGGGTCTCAGCTTTGATATACATCAGAATTACTGAGCAATGTCATCACTTGAAATTGAACTTTTCAAGAAAGTGCCAACATTTTTTTTTGCAGTGGCTGCACCATTTAACATGCCCACACTCCTAACAGCATGTGGGCAAGCACTGTGATTTCTCTAGACCTCATCGGCATTTGTTATTTCCTTTTTAAGAACAGTCATCCTTTCTCTCACACCCTGCTAGTCACTACTGTGCCACATATCCTTTCTAGAATTAATTATTGACAAAGTAGATTTGATCACCATAGGCTTTGAGCCAATGAACTGACTTGGATAGGATCAACATTCCCTGGCACATGGCCATGAAGAGGACAGATGAATGCCTGAACAAAACCAGTGCACGTCAGAAAGCCACACAGTACAGGCATCTATGTTTACAATGTAGGAAGGTCTTCAAAATAGAAATGCTCGCTAGAATTCAGTGGGTCTGCCATGTGTTCCCAATATTCATCCCTTCAAAATATTCTCCGGTTGCTTTTAACACAAAGTCAGAGCTAAGAACATTGATCTATACATGGGACTTCCCATTAACACAGCAGGTAGGAATATACTGGGAGACTGGAACATTACAGAGTACCTTTCCTGGGCCAAGGGGACTGAGGAAATCCCTGAGAAGTCATAACCAGGCCAATGCTTGCAAGAATTAGTCACCCAGGAGTAAGGAAGCATGCCATAGACTCACAAAGCAGGGGGATGTGGTTCAGGAGTAAGGAAGCAGCTCGGTCCACCTAGAGTTTGCCTGGAGTTTGACCACGAGAAAACAGAATTTTCACTTATACATGAACACCTTATAGCGGAAGGACAAGCGGGTCATCCTTGAGTAAGATCCCTTCACTCCCGTGACCTTGATGGCGAGCTGGGCAAGGGTTGTACTTGAGGTGGTAAGCAGAGGTTGGAATTCAGAGACTGAGCCTGTCTCTGGCTGCGCTCTGTACCAGTGTGACACAAGAATCTCCTGAGATCTCTCTGGACCACTACAGCACCCTTGCAAAGGAGAGGTAATAAAACTGCTTCTTGGGCTGTTGTGGAATTCAGATGGGAAAGCTCGTGTGCATGGCGCACAGTAATATGCTGCCATGTTCCAGTGTCTGTTCCTGTCACCTCCTCTATCTGGAGCACCCCTTAACTCCAGGCATCCATGTCACCGTCCCCTGCTTGGAATCCCTGGCTAACTACACAAACAGCACCTCTGACTTCTGTAGCAGGACTCTTAGAAGGTCTCGCCAGTTCCTCAGCTGATCCTGTTTCCTCAGACTGGAAGCCTCTGAGTTCTCATCCAGAATGAATCTCAGCTGAACTGTGCTGCTCAGAAGCCTGAAAGCTTAACCAGCTAAATGCTTCTAGTTCCTGGTCCTCACGCCTTATATACCTTTCTGCTTTCTACCATCACTCCCTGGGTTTAAAGGCTCACTTTCTGGGATTAAAGGCGTGAGTCACCATGCCTGGCCATTTCCAGTGTGGCCTTGAACTCACAGAGATCCAGAGGGATTTCTACCTCTGGAGTGCTAGGATTAAAGGTGTGAGTGCCACCATTTTCTAGACTTTGTATCTAGTGGCTGTTCTGTCTCTGACCCCAGATAAGTTTATTAGGGTGCACAATATTTTGGAGAACACAATATCACCACAGACTTCCGGTCCCGAGGCTGAGCTCTCAGGTGCTGCTCCCAGCCAGCTGCTCTTCCCCATGTCAGTTAATAGTGTCTCCACCTCCAGTGTCTCCCTTCACCCCACCTCTTCTCTCCAACATCAAACTGCCACAGACCTTTCCAGACCGCTTCCCCTTGCTCCCTCCCCACCCCTGCCCCCATCACTTGTTTCCTGCCAGCATCCTCTCCTGAGGGTCCCTGAAGTCTCCTGAGCCTTTGTGTTGGGTTTCCTCCCCCATACTTAGCCATATGGATAGTGTCTCGATTTCTTCCAGTCTTCACTGAGAAGCCACAGTATAACTTAGGCCTTCCCTAGACACCTTATTTCACAGTACTTGCCCTTCATGTATCATATTGTCCTTCATTGTCTCTCTTTCTTTTCTTTTTTTTTGTTTTTTTTGAGGGTTTCTCTGTGTAGTTTTGGTGCCTGTCCTAGATCTCGATCTGTAGACCAGGCTGGCCTCAAATTCACAGAGATCTGCCTGGCTCTGCCTCCTGAGTGCTGGGATTAAAGGTGTGTACCACCACTGCCCAGCTCACTTTATTTTTTGAGACAGCATCTTGTTCTATAGCCCAGGATAGCCTTGAACTCTTGATCTTTCTGCCCCAGCCTCCTGAGCGCTGGACTCACAGCGTGCCCTACCATGCTGAGGTTGTTTATGTTTTGTGCTGATTTGGAGTATAACATCTATCTGATGGCTAGAGAACCCCTTTAGTGGTGAATCATACACTGTTTTTTTTTTTTTTTTTTTTTTTTTTTTTTTTTTTTTTTTTAAGAATCATGCTTCTAAATTTATTTAAGAAATCCTGGCTGTCTCTTGAAATTATTCCAGTAAGCCTGACTATTGGGTTGACAGGTGGAGAGGTACCCAGGAGCTAGCTCAGTCTCACGGCAACAGGATAACCGTATCTCAGAGATGCATGGGGTTGGTTAGCATAGCGTTGGCTGTTTTACATGGAAATCCTCCCAAAGTCTTCCGAAAGGTTGACTACTTCCTACAACATTCTGCCCATCTCATTTCTCAAAACTGCACGACTTGACTCACTTTTGTAGCCATGTGGGCTCGTGACCCCACCCCTGCCCCACAGATCTGGTGCCCGGTGACGGTGTGGTGTTCTTCCTCGTAGGTACTGTAAGAGCAGCGTGGCGCTCATGTGCTTTGCGCTCCCTGCACTGGTGCCCTGGCACTTCTGGGGAGAGACTCTGTGGAAATCCTACTCCTTGGCTTCCATCTGCAATGCACCATTGCCCTCAATTGTACCTGGCTGGTCAACAGCGCTGCCCACATGTGTGGAAAGCAGCCTATGACAAGCATACCAGCCCTCGGCAGAACCCACTGGTTGCTCTGGGGGCCATTGGTGAGTGGGGTGTTGAGAGCCAATGGGGGAATGGCAGATGTTATTGACTTTGTGGGAGGGAAAGCTTTATGGCTTTATGGCTATAAGAAAGAGAGTGGAGGAGTGTGGAGAAATTGAACTTTGACCACGGCATCCTAGCTCTTAGACAAGTCGGGCAAGTTCTCTGCTTTATGGTTTTCTTATCTGTCAGTTGGGAAATAACAATGTCTCCCTCGTGGAGCACATAAACTGCTCAGTGCAGCACTGGAGCGTAGAAGATGATCAATACATGGTATAATAGTTCATTTCATCATGAAAATTTCCCTTTCTCTCAAACAGCCCTGACTACTCGAGACTTGGCTATCCAGTCATTTGTCAGAAAAAAAAAAAAGTCTTCAAGCAGGCGATGGCAAGAGAGGAGGTTCACGGGACCACAAGTAGCGAAGAAGAGTCAGGCAGTGAAGAGTCCAAGGTAGGATCCATCCTGGCTCCTCCATTGCCTCTCTGGGCTCTACCTGGCTCCTCGGCATTTTGTGTTCTTATCTGTAATAAGACAACAAGCAGCCCTTCCCTCCTCCCTGGTCACCGGAGGGTGAGATGAGTTAATGCACGGCGCTTGTAGAGGTGCTTAGCCCTTCTGGGGCGCTGCCTTCAGTGGCGGCTTTATGGTCTTCCGTGAGTTGCTTGTCCCTCCTGTGCATTTCTGTCCTCATTTTAAACCGGGGATGATCACCGCAGTTAGCTGAAAGGCGCGAGGGTAAGAGGACTTAATACCGAGCCCTGGATGCCGTGCTCAGCATGCAGTAAGTGAGTCGTAAATATTAGCTGCACCTCTCCAAATGCACCTCGGGCTCTTTGGTGAAGCTGAGCATCAAGCAGAGATCAGGCCGGGAAGGGAGGTCCTACCGCCGGGTAGGAGCGGTCTCTGCCACTCGGTGGTGAGGTACAGTTACCGGACCGTCAATCATCCGGTTGAGATCCTGGGGATCCTGCGGTCTCGTCAGCTTGTGTTGACAGCGACAATATAAGGCGCGGTGAACACTAGCTGTAGCTGTGCGGTCACCAGGCGGGAGGGGGAGGGGCTTTGGACTACAAAGGGAATTTTCTCCCCTCTGCGGCTTTCCCCTCTCTCCTTGAATCTTGAGTGGACTGAAGTAGGGGGTCCACAGCCAGCGTCAATCCTGGGTGCAAATGAAAGAGGGGCACAGCATAGACTGTGATGTCTTATATAGGCACATGTGGGTCAGGCACCCAAACAGCATGGCTCTGGCACAGGTCCTAAAGAGCTGGGCACTGGCTTTAAGTCTACCCAGACCAGCCGTGAAGGCCCAGGCACAACACAAAAAAACAACAACTGTAATTATAGATGAAAGATAAAGTGAGGAATAAGGGGGGAATCTGAGCTTCTCCGCAGTTAACAGCAGTCATTGTGTGAGCTTCCACTCCACCCCAGTGCCCAAGAGAAATGAAAATGTGCGCCATTAAGAAACGCAAATGCTCACAGCAGCATTATCATAGCAACTAAAAAGGGGGGAAGAACCCAAATAATGATCAGCGGACAGAGAGACGTGTACAGTGCTGTATATCCACACAGTGAGAGACTATCATCAATAAAAAAGAATCAAGTTAAATGTATGCTATGACGGGTGAACCTTGAGAGCGCCGTGCCCCATGAAAGCAGTCAGTCACCAAGGACAGACTGCTGTGATTTCATTTGCATGGACTGTCCAAAATGGGACTGCGGAAATGGCTCAGCCAGTAAAACTGCTTGCTGTGCAGACAGACAGACAGACAGACAGCCCGAGCTCAGTTCCCCGGACCCACAGCAGCAGAGAACCTAAAGTTACCCTCTGATTTCCACATGTGTGCTATGGCGTGCATACAACCCCATCTCTCTGCACACACACAGATGCACAGTTACAAACAGCATATCCATGAGCTGTCCAAGGCAGTCAGATCCATAAAGATGGAAAATAGGACCAGTGGGGGTACTGGAAGGAGGTGGGGGTAATGGCTAAGGAGGGTGGGGAGGGTGTAGGAGGTGGGGGGGGGTTTCTTGAGGAATACTGAAAATGTTCAACTCTATGAAAATTCTTAAAATCATATTTGTACTTGGAAGTGGGAATTCTGTGAATTATAACTCAGTGAAGCCCTCTCTTAAAGGATATGAACTGATTGTGGGGAAATGAAAATTAAAGCCAAAAGGAAACAGTGCTTCGCTTTAGTTAGTAAGACTGTTTGCGCCGGGCGGTGGTGGCGCACGCCTTTAATCCCAGCACTCGGGAGGCAGAGCCAGGCGGATCTCTGTGAGTTCGAGGCCAGCCTGGGCTACCAAGTGAGTTCCAGGAAAGGCGCAAAGCTACACATAGAAACCCTGTCTCGAAAAACCAAAAAAAAAAAAAAAAGACTGTTTGCGAAAAGATGAAAGACTAGTGTTGGCAGGAAAGAGAACCCTTGCATGCTCTTGGGACGCTTCCTCCCTCCCTCCTTCCCTTCCTCCCTTCCTTCCTCCCTCCCTCCCTCTCTTCCCCCCTCTCCCCCTCTCTCTCTCTTCCTTTCTTTCCTGTCTCCCCTCCTCCTTCTCCTCCTTCTGTAAATGAGTTTAGCCATTGTGGAAAACAATATGAAAGATTTTTATAAGTTAAAAAAAAAAACAGAATTACCATATGATCAAGCAAGTGTGTGTATATCCAAAGGGAATGAAATAATTGCTGGAGACATCTGCACGCCCATGTTTATTGAAGCACTATTCACAACAGCAAGATACTGAATGGATGTTCACCAACGGAGGGCTGCCAAAGACAAGAGGCTCCGTGAGTGTGTAATACACAGTGTTCTTCAGCCTTAATGAAGAAGGGCGTCCTGCCCTACGCAGTGAACCTGAAGGCCATAACACTTGGGGGAGTCCATCAGCCACAGAAAGACAAATGCTGCGGCATCTTGTGTGTATGTTGAACCTCAAAGAGTGGAACTCAGAAGCAGGGGGCAAAACAGGGTCACCGGGTACTGGAAAATGTAGGGAGGGTGAGAGGTATCGGAACACACACACACACACACACACACACACACACACACACACACACTTCCCATCAGATAAAAGAAATCAATTAAAATATCTGTTGTATAATATGGTGGTTATAGGTTTCAACAATGTATTGTGTTCTTGAAATTGTTGGTTTTTTAGTTTCTACCACAAAAACTAAAAAAGTATGGAGGGAATGTGCAGGTTAATTGGCTCAGTTTAGTCATTCTGTAGTGCACATTCATTTTCAACATGTGTTGTTATATGTGATGCATATGTTTTTGTTATTTAAAAAACAGAAGAACTCTCTCTCTCTCTCTCTCTCTCTCTCTCTCTCTCTGTCTCTCTCTCTCTCTCTCTCTCCTCTGTTCTCTCTTCCTCCCATCATCTTTCTCTCTCCCTCTGCACATGCTCCTTCCCTAGGCTGGTTCTCTTCTACCCCACCCCACCCCTCTTCCTCCTAATAAAGCTCTGATACAGAAAGAAAGAAAGAAAGAAAGAGAGAGAGAGAGAGAGAGAGAGAGAGAGAGAGAGAGAGGAAGGAAGGAAGGAAGGAAGGAAGGAAGGAAGGAAGGAAGGAAGGAAGGAAGGAAGGAAGGAAGAAAATGAGAAGAAAGACAAAGACAATCAAATGAGCAAAGCTCTCGGGTCTCTCGTGAAGATGATTTTCGGGAACTGTAGGGAGGAAAACAAGTCAGTCAGAGACCGGAATAATGTTCAGGAGACCGGACGTTTAAAGGCCTGGCCCTTTCATTCACTCACCTGTCTGAACATTTTCATTTCCCCCACCCAAGCTTGAAGGAAGTCTTGCTGTAGCAAGCCCACCCACAGAGACCACTTTCCTTTTATGAACACATGTCAAAATAATCACCTATTGTCAGCCTCAGAGCATTTACCTTGCGAAGGGCGGCCCCGAGGGAGCAGCGTCCTGCCTGCCGTCCACACTGGGAAGCCAATCTTGTGGAGCTGTGGAACAACTGCTGTGATTTTTTTGTTCAGCTTAGCCTGTCTGGCAAACTGAGTAAACGCTTCCAAGAGCTGGAGCCAAGTCCTTTGCCCAAACGCGCAGTCTGAAACAGCCTTAAACAAGCTAGAGCCTAAACAAGGATAAAACTTCTACGCAGGCATCCATGTTTACGGCTGCTCAGTTAGCAACACCCAGGAAACAGAGCCAGTCTGGATGTCCATCAGCAGATGGATAAAGCAACGTGGTCCACAGACACAGTGGGATTTCATGCACTTACAAGGCAAAGTGAACTCATGACCTTCACAGGAAAATGATTGGAACCAAACACTATGATAAGCAAAATAAGCTAAACTTGGAAAAACGAGTGTCCCATATTTTATTTTATATGTAGAACCTAGATTTAAAATATGTATGCACAGGTGTGTGTGTGTTTATGTACATGTCACTCATAAAACTAGAAAGGGGCTCATTACAAGAGGGGAGATTTTCTTTCTTTTTATTTATTTATTTTTAGGAGGGGAGATTTTAGGGGAGGGAGGACAGCAGTGGGCAACCGAGGACATTCAATAAGAAAGCAAAGAGGGGACTAACAGGAAGGGGGGTGACCAGCTGGAGCAAGGCAGAGGCCGGAAGAGAAGGCAGAGAGGGAGGGAGCAGTTGAGAATTAAATAATGACACATACGTATGAAGATGTTATAACGAAGCCCAATGCTTAGAGTCCTGGTCTAAAAAGTGAATTAAAAACAAACGCTAACGGCAGGCAGGGCACAGCCACGGGGTGACTTCAAGGCACACTTGGTCTTCCAGGTGAAGGCTTCCACAACTACCACCACACGTTTCCCTTCGACTACTCTGCAAGTGAGTTTGGCTTAAATTTCAACCCGACCACCTGGTTCATTGACTTCATGTGCTTCCTGGAACTGACCACTGACCGCAAACGGGCTACCAAGCAGATGATCTGTTATGCCCAGATTGTGACCCCCAAAGAGACCACCGAAGACCTTGGATGTCCAGAATGCAACAACAAGGTTTATTCTGTAGATACAAGTCTAGACAGGGAACTCATCCCTACACCCAATACAGTGAGGCAGGGAGGAGTTGCTCTTTCTTTGTGTGGCTGGCTTTTTAAAGGCAAAAACCACAAGCCCTTCGAGGGGGTTGTGGGGGTTTGCACGGGTGCAACTTGGATTGGTTTATTTTTATCTCTGTTCTCTTTTAATTGGGTGAGGGTGTGTAACCTTTGAGTTTACTGGTTGGTGGTTACAATGATCACTTTGGGGGCAGTCCAGCACAAGTCCCAGGTTTTGTCCTTGAGCCGCCATGGGGGCTGGCTGGCCAAGCACGTACTGACTGTGGGAGCTGGCTCAGTGGTCCAGGCTCTGTCCTTGACTCATGCACATAACTCTAAGTTGGTGAGGGGTCCCAGACAGTAAACATCTGGCTGAACTTTGAGCAGTCAGAGTACGTGCAGAAAGGGAGCTACAGAAAGGACTATGTCTTTTGTTCATGGCCCTCCCAGAAAGTGCTTGCTCAAGTCTCAGGAAACTGAAATTGAGGCCTGATCTCTGAGAGAAGACTGAGCAGCCCTTATGGCATCTGTTTGGTCCTTTCAGATCGAGGCCCACAAAGCCAAGACAGAAGATGGCAGTGCCTGAAGCCTGCCGAATGCTGTCCACAGTGGCTACCATGACAACCAGCTAGCAGCTTTTGTCTCTACAGTGCTCTTGTTCATTGGCTTGTAGGAGGGGGTAGAAGGTGGGGAGGGGATGAAATATATATATGGTCTGGGAAATTGTATTTGTCTCAAATAATGCCAACTATAACTGTCAATGAAAAAAATAAGTCAACATTAAAACTATGGTCCAGTATTGGAAAGTGGATGTGTGATTCATCAAACATACATTGTTATGTATTTGTGCTCAAACATGTTAACCTGGACAGGATGAACATGGGATTGTTTTGGTGTGGCCTAGGAGGTATTTCTTTTCCTTCTCACCCATGAACACAGCAGTGCTTCTAATCACACTGTCTGAAGGAGCAGAGAGGCGGGGCAAAGGTTCATCTGTGAGTGACAGCCGTGCTCCTGGCTTGCAGCCACAGTGTTGTGTACAGTTAAAGAAAAGGCTTAAAAACTGAAGATATAGAAAATGGGTCTTGAAGCTGGGTGTTGTGGTGCACACCTTTAATCCCAGCACAGAGGCAGAGGCAGGCGGAACTCTGTGAGTTCAAGGCCAGGACAGAGAAACCCTGTCTTGAAAAACCAAAAGAAAAGAAAAGAAAAGAAAAGAAAAGAAAAGAAAAGAAAAGAAAAGAAAAGAAAAGAAAAGAAGGGAAACGTCTCTATTATTTTCACTGTGCTATAACTTGTGGACCCTTTTCCTGTCTTTAGTGTAAAAGAGATGGTGTTTGGGGCTGGTGCAGTAACCCAGAGGGGAGGAAAGTCAAAGCACTTTCTGAGTTCGACCCTTGGGATCCACAGGATGAATGGACTGAATCCCACAAATTGTCCTCTGACCTCCACATCCACAACATGGTACAAACACGTGTGAGTGTGTATGTGAACCTATGCACCTGCACGTGCACACACATGATCACTTGTGTGCACACTCAGTGAATAAACATAATCTTAGAATGTTTTAAAAAGGGATGCATTCACTGCTCAGTCCACTCTATCAATCAATGCCTATTTAGATGTTTGAATTCCTCTTTGCAATTGCCATTTTAAAGGTGTATAAATCAGACATGCCAGACATCAAATTAAACACAAATTAAGCTTTCATTTTCATGTTTATACACCTAATTTGTATTCTAATTGATCTCAGCCACTGACGCTTGTTACTTCAGCTACTTCTACTAAATAAGTGTATTAATTTTCCACACTAGGCCATCACCACTTAATAACCAACAGTTCATCTAGAACTCTGTTTCCTAATGTGTCATGTGCATGTGGCCGTCATTGATTTTGCAGCAAAATATAAAGTGATCATTATGTAGCTTCTAGATTAGAACGATTTTGTATGTTAATTTGCCTTGTAAAGAGCATGTTGAATCAATGTGACAGCATGCCTGTTGTGTTAGATGTGAGGTTGAAAGGGAGGCCTGGCCATGTTGGCATCAGAGTAGGTTCAAGATAACTTCAGGAAAGACAGAGGGTTTAAAATTTAACTTTTTAGAAAAGGTCATGACACACCAATTAGGAATTATCATGATGAAGTTCTTCACCTAGCAGGGGTTATTTGACCATTACTAATGTGCAAACCACAAGCAATTTACAATAAATGATTATTAATTCATTGGTGTTCTTGTTTGGATATTTACATGCTATTTAGGGAATCTTCTCTGGGTGCTTGGTGATCACTTATGTTTGGCAAACTCTAGATTACCAATGGCCTCAAGACCTGGCATTGCCCATCCCACCTGCCCTTTGGCATAACCAGGGGTAAAAGTCAGCGTGTCTGTGTAGAATGGGGACCCCCAGTGGTGATATTATTCACTTCTTACCTACCGACACTAGCACTTACTCTATTTTTAACTAATAAATGGGAACCTGGTGCCACCTGTCACCAAGAAGAGCATGATGGACATCTGTTTCCTCCAAGCTCTACCAGTGGTGCCCAGAGGTAAGGAAAGGATTCATGATCTCACCCCAGTCCTTGGTCATCACATCTCTATCCTCTGCCCCCAATAGGAGCCCCTGACTCCTTGATTAGGAATGTTTTTGTGAGTCTTTGATGCACAAATGCCCTTGTCCATTAGTAGGACAGCATTACATTTGGAACAGCTACTTGGAAATCTCACCTCACCAGAGGAGGTTATTCCCCTACTGGTCCAACAAAACCTAGAGGCCCATGCCTCTGTATCTGAGTGGCATCTCTACAGAACTTATCAATGTCCCAGGACTGGCAGGGGTTGGAGAAAGAACTGGACAAAAGTTAGACCAGCCTAAAATCATCAGGATGTTCCCAACCCCACCTAGGACTTTCTAGAGAGCTTGTTGCAGATTTTGAAAGGGTCAGTCCAAGGCAGAGGACTACTCACTCTCCCATGCCGCCTTCTTCTTCTTCTTCTTCTTCTTCTTCTTCTTCTTCTTCTTCTTCTTCTTCTTCTTCTTCTTCTTCTTCTTCTTCTTCTTCTTCTTCTTCTTTTTTTTTTCCAAGACAAGGTTTCTCTGTGCAGTTTTGGTGCCTGTCCTGGATCTCACTCTGTAGACAGGGCTGGCCTCGAATTCACAGGAATCCTCCTGCCTCTGCCTCCCGAGTGCTGGGATTAAAGGTGTGTGCCATGCCCTCTTTAATCACCATCCCTACATGGCTCACTGCAGAAACACCCGTTTCTGAATCTGGTCAGAAGGAACCAAGGGAAGGAAGAAGCTCTAGTAGTGTATGTCCCCGGGTGTCATGGTGACTACACGGAGCCAGCCTGAGATGGTGGAGCCAACTCAGAAGCACTTCATATCCCCCATTCTACTACCCGCCAGCCGTGGGGTCTCTAGGAAAACCCACCTTTCTGGATCTAATGTCCTTATCTGCAAAAGAGGGAACTAAGCCAGGTTCTGTCTAAGATCCACTCAGTTCTAATATTCATCAGCAGGAAGAGAGATGAGGATATGTCTGACTTCTCAAGGTAGTGCCCACTTCTTTCTGGAACCTGGATCATCAAAACTCAGAAAAATAATTGTGTCTTGGGAGGACACAGACCGAGGCTGAAGGAACGGAGTGTGCTTGGTGGAGAAATCAATCTGTATTTCATTCATTCTGCAATTGTGATGAAGCAATAGTAACCCGCCAAGAAAAGCTCCCGGATGAGGAAAGCCAGAGGGTGTCCCGCCACAGCCCCAGATGCGGCATGGAGCCCAGGAGACATCAGCAGAGGGTGAGTGGTGCTGGCCGCTCAGATGCAAGCTGCCAACAGGTGTAGGGCAAGGGGCCACAGACCGGCAGCCTCCAGGCCTAATCTTGGTGTTCACTAGTTGAAATATATCATTCTGGAATTCTCTCTGTGTGAAGAAGCCTCAGCATTGAAGAGCAACTGTATGTGTTGGTCCGTTTTCACCATAGTGACAAAATACCCTAGTCAACAGCTTAAAGGAGCCATTTTTATTTTATTGTATTATTTTATTTTACAGTGGCGGTGGAGTTGAGACAGGAAGACACTGTGACAGGATTCCTGCAGCAAAAGCTGTCCCCAGGGGCTACGCCCTCCAACCAGGCCCCACCCCACTTACACAATCCGTCAATTTCTGAATCCACTGAGGAGGTTGAAGCCTTGTGGTCCATTCACTTTGCCCAAACCCACTGACTGGCCACCAAGCCTTTATCAGTGAGCCTTTGGGGTACACTTCACCCCAAAACTGTAGCACTGTGTCACCCAGCATAGTCTTTGTCTCTGAACCCTGGCTCCTCCTGCACCTCACTCACACTGTTCCTATCCCGGGGTTCAGTTGGGAGCTAGGATCTGTGATTAGGGAGGTCGGAGCTCACGGCTAAGGTAGCTTTGGGGTTACTTGTGTGAGGTTCATTTCTTTATTTCAGTCCTGTCCCCAGACGCGGGGACCCTGAAGTACAGCTGTGTCCTCATTGGCTGATGATGGGGAAAATGAGGAAGGAAACACAGGTCCCACTCTAACCTCTGCGATGCTTTGTTTACGTTTCCGAATTTCCAGGAGTCAGTCAGACTCCCTTCCTCTGCGTCAGGGCAGGGCTATAAATGAACTGGAACCTTTCGTCCATCCGTCTGTCCATCCCTCTGTGTGCTTGCTGCCATTCCCCTGCAGATCTCAGTGACCAAGGCCCCACCCCACCCCTACCCATGGGAGTATTCCTGACTTCTAAATTTGCAACATCGGAAGCAGGAGGAAGGAAGCCCTGGTCTCAGGCACCTGGGGACACAGTAAACCTGGAGCAGCCTGGTGGCTCTGCTCAGCCTCCAGCCGCCTTTCTTCCTCTCGCCCTCCACAGCATCCCCGATCCCACGTGGGGAAGGGCAGGCAGTCGTATCTTGATGGTGACTGTCTCACAGGATTTTGAAGTTCTTAGGAACGCCTTGACCTGAGTCAGGGCACCCTCCCTTTCAGCCCCTGACCTGTGTTTCTGAGGGAAAAAGCCTCAGGTTACTTGTCCATATTATTCACGATTTGGGGTCTATCTTGCGGTTCCCACCCTTCTATTTTCTCTCCTGCATGAGGAAACATGAAAATGCAGTTATTGGCAGACATGTCAGAAGTTGCTGGGCGATGGTGGTACACGCCTTTAATCCCAGCGCTTGGGAGGCAGAGGCAGACGGATCTCTGTGAGTTCAAGGCCAGCCTGGTCTACAGAGCGAGATCCAGGACAGGAACCAAAACTACACAGAGAAACCCTGTCTTGGGGGGGGGGAGAGGAAAAAAAGAAATGTCAGAAGTTGCTTCTCTGCCAATAGGCCTGTACCATCCATGGATAAAGCTACAGGGCCTGACTTGAATGAGGTATAGTTCCACTTTGATTACTGAATTTTAGGTTCACAGCCCCGGTCTCAGGGAACCTGTGTAGATGAGCAGCTCCCAGCTGAGGTAAAGGAGCAGGAGAGCTCCACATCAGCTCCTTGAATCTGCAGTTGCTGCTCACAGATGCAAGGACAGCTCCACCAGACTTGATGGGGCTCCTTCACTTCCCACTTCCGCCTCAGAACTAAAGGGCACTTAGGCAGCTAGCATGGGAAAGTGCTTTTTCCAGAGGTGCCAAGCAGTGAGTGCATCCATTTACACGGTTCTCTCCAGCTCCTGCTACTGAGCGACTGTGGCAGGATCGACATCCTGAAAGTCAGGGCCTTAGACTATGCACGTTTCCATTACAGCCGACCATGCAAGCGGGAAGGGGCAGTCTCAACATGG